GTGGGAAACCTACAAACTAAAAACTAGGAAAACACATCTGACACAGGACCTAAGAGATACATCTGGAACTTCAGCTGATCTATCTACTGCTTACTAAAGCCTCATCAGAAATGGTCTCAGGGGAAGGGTGACTGTCAGGATGCCATTCTTAAGAAAGGGAAATGGGGAGGAAAGGCTGAGGTATGCCAGATTACACAAGAACTGGACTGGAAGTCAGTTGCAGTGAGTCTTATGGAGTGGTGAATCCAAACTTGAAATTTTTTTGTTCAGCCCGTCATCAATGTATCCACAGGAGATCAGGAGAGAGGTATAACAATCGTCATTTACAGCTATCTGTAAAACACGGCGGAGGTTCTCTCGTGGTTTGCGACTCCATTTCAGCCTGTGGTCATACTCAATATTGTCAATTAAATAAACCCTGTATTTGCCTTATTCTGTATTTTCATGTATGTTTATATTTTATTCAATAAATATCTGTATGCAATTTCCAATTTTTCTTGTGACAAATTGAGAATAGAACAGTAAAATTAGCGGCTTGGTTTTGGATCACAGCTGATCCTTGTTCTGCTTCAGAAAAGTAAACCGGTCTTGCATCTGCTGATTTGAGTGCAATTAGAACTTAAAGATCTCCCCAGAAAGGGAATACCTCTTTAGCTGCAGTCCAAAAGGTCAAGTTGGAGTCTGTCTAGTCGTAAGATGAGTTCTTCCCTGTGAAAGCAACTGCACAATATTGAGGATTTCCACAACCAGCTGCCAGAGAAGCATGAGATGGTAGAGGCCAAGGCTAGCTGGTTGAAGCTTTTAGAATAAGAGAGGGGTTTGTCCACTAGTAAATTGATCATAATTGGCATTGTTCTTTCTTACAGATAGAAATTGAAATACTTTGTCAGACATACTAAGGTGGGTCTCATTGAAAGAAAGACTAAATAAATGTATTCTCTATGTCATATGATCTTCTTTCTTCTCTTCACCTATCATTTTATACTTTTGCCTGCTTTGCTTTTTGTCTGTCTTTTTTTCCTTTCTTTTTTTTTTCCAGAAAAGACCCTGACATGATATCGATGACATCATTTCTATCTTGCAGGACTGAGCAAATCAGAACAAGACCATGCAGATGATGAATTCCATCGATCCAAGAAATTGACGCCCACACCAGTTCAATAACACCATTTTCCATTTTTAATTTTTCAACTTTTTGTTATTTTTGAGGGATAGTATCACTTCTTCTGCTCCAGGGCCTCTACAAAGGCCACAACATTGAGAGCTTCCAGGGATCTCACTAGTGATTGAGGAGAAGTTACCTTGGAGTTGACTCTTTTGAACGTCCACCTTACACTGATATAGATAAATGGCACTCTTGTAGTTGCCTGCTGACCTACCACCTTACCAACAATATTCAGCACGCCATCTCCATGTCTAACTGCAGCATCCTCCTTCCTGACTACCCCAGCCCTACATAACCTTCTGGAGGGTGATAAGATCATGTCCCATCCCATGGATAACACCCATACCTCTGGGAACCAAAGTTCCAACCAGGGGCAGTATGGACTATCGGATGTACATGCAAGTGGGGACCCTAACAGGTCTATGACTCTGGCTGACTCTCAGGACAGTCATTTTACTAGCACGCCTAGAGATGAGTTTCATTCATCAATCACTGAAACAAGCAATCCGGTGTCTTCACTCTCTCAAAGACTCTCTGATGTTGATAGCGGCATGGACTGGTTGCCAAACTACAAAAGTGAAATTGAGGATTCTTCTTCTAAATTCCATGCATCACCGGCTTCTTATAGAAATAAAAGCAGTCATGACAGTAGATTTGCTGCTCTCAGTGAAGGAGAATGTCATATCCAATCCATTCCAGGTTTAGGTGATTATGACTCTCAACTGCCTGACAAACCTGTGGCTGTGGCAGAGTCCAGGTACCCTCAGTACACATCAGAAGAAGCTGCTAACATCCTTTTGCAGCTTGGACTTGAAAAAGAAGACTTGGAATATCTGATTTCTTACCCCAAAGACCAGATCACCCCTAGTAACCTGCCTTTCGTCTTACAACAAATACGCAATCAAAGGGGTACAAATGCAGTTCAATCAGAACCAAATCCAGATCTTCAGCCAACCACCAGTATGAGTAGAAGGGACAGGTTAAATACAAAAAGAGGAGAAGAGATGTGGCAGGATGAAATGTCACCTACTATTCAACCAAGTAAAGTGATTGACTCTGGACACACTGCCAAATATACTGTAGATGAGATTGGGAAGAGCAGTGACAAGAGAGCTAGCAATGGTGGGAGTAGAAGTATGTTGTTGATGGACTGTTATGAGAGTAGCAGCCACAATAGAGAACCACTCCCAAAAAGTATAATAGAAGGGAAAACCAGTGCGATGGTTTCACCATGTGACCTGCAGGATACTGTTTCCAGTCTGAGCTCAGTCCAAGTCTGTGTGACTTCTCAAGGCAGTAATGTAGCTCAACAGATCCAACCAAGCCGGTCTTCTCGAGAAATCATCAGCTCTTTTTCTCCACCGAAGAAGGACACAGACTCAAGATTTCCTAAGATATCTGAGGTCTCTAGGCTAGTTCTCTTTAAAGAACCAGAGACATATCAGCAGTCAGCCTTAAAAACTCAGCCACCTCTCAGTGTGGTCTGTGTTGTGCATCCCGATAATGATTACATTCACACCAAGGAAGAGAGTACAACTCAAGAACAAGACTCTAAGGTTGCTGAACCGATGAACAAGAAGCAGCATAAGTGGACACAACAACAGCTAAGAAGGCAGAGTAAACTGATCATGAATGCTGCTGCAAAACCAGTTTCTCTACTTTCTTCCCCCCGAAGTACCATAACTATTCCATCTTCCAATAAGCAGTGCTTGGCAAACAGGGAGCTTTCAAAGGCTCTCCCAACAAGGGCCATGAAGCAAGACTATGCTGCAGCCACACCAAAAATCTTTCCACATACCTGTTCTCTGTGTTTACAACGATGTGCTCATATGAAGGTGGGTGGAAGAGTATACTCTGTTTGCCCTTGTTTAGGAGGACAAGTTTTTTAAGATTAGGTTATTTTGATTGAGTTTCAATTTCATTTTCTTTTCATTTGGAATAACTGATGGCTATTTGTTGAAAAAAAAAATCGATAAATGGTACTTTCAGTTGATTTTAAACATTGTTTCACTGAAACTGAAAAAGTATTCCAGTAAGGTGTGCACCACAAGCTGTAAGCTGTGTACCCGTTAACAAAAACAATATGAAATTTTGTAACAATATGAGGAAAGGAACAGGTCATGATCCAAAGAATGTCACATTTGACAAACATTGTAGAGGAATTGTGTGGCTACTGGTAGAATGAGGAGAATAGTCTCAGTGACTGCTGATTGAGGTAGCAGATGAATTAATTGTACAGTGCTGTACTCCCCGCTCAATTTTTAGCCAAATAGATGCAGAACTGCAAAGATAGTGTTTTCACAGTGCAAATGGATAATAAATAACTCAAGAATTTCTCAAGGCAAAGAAAATAGGTATTGAATAAAGAAAGAGACACACAAACAATTAGCCATTGAAGGTGCCTGCAGTAAAGGCAGAGAATCTCAAAGAAGAAAACAGTATTTGGGAGTTCGTATGGGTTCAGGACTTTAGGAAGTCATTATCTTTTAAGACTATGTGCATTTGTACAGTTACTTTTGAGCTTCTGAAAAAGTTTGAGATAAATTAATTAAGTCTGAAAATCAATCGGAATTCAGCCACATCAAATCTAGTGGCATACTGAGGCAAAATCACAAAAATTTAGCAGTTGTCCAAAAACTTACGGACTGAACTGTAGTTACTTCTATGATTAATATCTATCATATTTTTCAAAATCTAATCAAAGTCTTTGTCTATACAAATGTATGACATGCTTTTTGAGGTTTATTGCTTAGTGCTGTTTCCTTGACAACCTGGATATACGTCCAAGTTAGCGTTGCATAATGTCACAGGGCATCATAGTGATGAACAAAATTTGACTGTCTAATGCTGCAGTCACACTAGGCAAAACAGTGTTAGGAGACTGCAGTACGACTCAAATTACTTGGGCCATGTACAATGAATTTACATTGCTTTTGAAATAGTTGCTTCGAAGATGGGTATTACTAAGTCAGTTGCTGTCTTCAAAACGTTGCTGTATCAATACTATAACAAAGTGGCAATAAGAGAAAACTTTTCTGCTACCAGTTTGTGTGTGAATGGGGTCGAATTAGCAATTATATTCCATCTCATTGTAGTAATATGCCAATCAACTGAGATAAATGATAGAAAAACACTTATCTGTTGCTGTCTATATAAACTGAAATGTACATAAACCTGAATTTACATTAAGAGTTCAGCCAGAACCTCATAATTCTGAAACAGAAGTTTCCTCCACAAACAGATGTAGTTTCTGCAGGGTGGCAATGTAACTCCAAGTAGAGCAGGGTGATATGACCAAAAATATTTATCACGATATACATTTGAAAATTTGCAATAACGATATAACTGACAATATAATTGACACTAGACAAAATACTTTACAACTCCACAACTTTATTAGTGCAAAAAAAAAGAGAAAACATCAATGTATTTTTACTTAAACAAGCAGCTTTTTTATGTGCATTAAAGTTATATAAAAAAATTACAGTGCAAATGCAAATCCTTGCTGACAGTTTAACCAAAAGGCATTTCCAGTGGAAATTGGCCAACATGTCTTCAGCATAACCATGTATAATATCCACAAAACTTAAAAAGAGGTTATACACACACAATACGGTAATATTATGTTGAAGCACCGTACGTATCACTTCGCGAGGCTCCTGCCTACGATAGCCGTAATGCTCCGACAATCCATCAAGCGGTGTGGCTTCGTAGCTTAGCAAAGTCGTACTGAAACATTTGATAGATTTTCGAGCGCCGTGTACCATATAAAATCGTTTCGAGGTCAGTAAACACAACCAGAATTCATACATAAGGCGCACGGGATTATAAGGTGCACTGTCGAATCAAAGGATTGATTTTAATTGTGCCATATTTCCCAATAAACACGGTAATAACGATGGCCCGCTAGCATGCTCTACCAAAAATAGTGCTTTGTTGTGTATCTGATGGTTGAAAGCCAAACCAGTTCCACACCACTGAAGTTGCAGCATTTTTACAAACCTATTCTGGTTCATCCATTTCATTCAACGATCCACTTTTGCTATTCTCATTCTGCGTCGCCGCCATGTGCGTATGTAAACAAAGGCACTGCACATGCGCGTTTCACCCATATTCTATCGCGATATTTCATCTTCTTATCGTTGCCCAACATTACACCGGTATTACCGTGAACGGTATGATATAGCCCAGCCCTAACTCCAAGTCATATAGGCAACAGCTTTTATGTAGGACTATAACTAGAACCGTTTCCCAACCTTATTGCAAAGAAATGAGTCACAGGCAATTTGTGATCATGGGTCAGTCAATCCATATTAGACTGTAGTTGTTTGTAAACTGGTTACCTTCCATTGGGCAACCTGTGTAATTACATTGTGACTAAAGATGGCCACACAGAGGTTTAGGATATTGCACACTCAACCTCTGGGAAACCAACTACTTGGACCAAAAAAAACCTAAATTAAAATCAGTTCAATCACTGGATGGCCAGCAGTGTTTTTTTTTTTCTCCCCTGCTATTTTTACTACTGCATTTTAGTATGACTGAGCTGTAAGGGACTTAAGGCCACAGTTGTGTTTATTTGTGTTTTCAGATGGTAACTGAACTGAAGGCTGGGGGCATTAAAACTGATAACACTACATTTCTTCTTGTTTTCTGTGTCTTAGGATTGGATCTCACACCAGAATACCAGCATTCATACTGAAAACTGCAAACTCCTCCAGATACAGTCAGTCTTTCTTCCTTTTAACTACAAATTTTAAAGATCTTTGTCCTTTTTTTTGATTGATTAGTGAGAATCACAGTTTTTCCAGACCTTGTGGGGTAGACTCGACAGAAACCTCCTGATGTAATTTTATTTTACTACTTCTAGGGTGTGCTATATGTTCCATACCTTAGGTCCTCTAAAGCAGTTTATTTGACAGAATATGAGCCACCCAAAAACATTGTTGATAATCTTTAAGGGTTAATCAGTTATTTCAGACCATTCTTTAGGATACCTCCTGTAGTTGCTTTTGGTTTTTAATAGTTGCTGTTTGAAATAGCTTTTCTAAATTTTATTTTCATCCCACTGGTACCCAGAATGGGATGGTAGTGTAGTACCATTGTCAAGGTAACAATATTTGTCATCAGGCAAAAACCAATCACAGAAGCTTTGCAGCATTTCCTTTTTATTTGTTTACCCATTCATTTCTTTATTAATATCCTTTAGTGATGTAGGCACAGAAAACAATCCCACGCCCTCCACATCTGCTGTAACTTCCCAGCATCGTCATCAGAAAACCAGACATGAGAGTTCTCGCTCTCGCTCACACAGCCCACGCCAAAGGCATGGCTCAAATGGAAGAAGGGCTAGCCCTAGTAGCTATTCTCCTTCTCATTCACACAGCCCTCACAAACACCACCACAGCTCTGAGGGTAGAAGAGAGAAAATCAAGTGTGGATCACGATCCCCACACAGCTCCAGACATACTCACAGGTACTCACTAGTTGGAGACAAACATGAATATCAGCATTTTTATATGTCAGAAATATTGCTAATATCGGTTTCAGCCGTTTTGTCATTTTTAGAAATTTTGAATTTGATTTGTCCTTCCAGCTCACCACATTATAAAAACCCCAACTCCTACCGTCATCAGTCAGACCTGAGGAGCCATGAGCAATGGTCTGACCCGAGAAGAAGAGATGAGAAACTTAGCAGAGGCCTTAAAAGACAGCCATCAATGGAGAGGTCATCCCCTCAACCAAAGAAATTGAAAAGTACAATGAAGCTGCAGGACACTCCAGGTCTGATAAATTGCAAACATTTTGTATTTTATAAGTTAACCAAGTGCACAAGTTGGTTATTCTGTGGTTAATTTACACTTGCTAAACACAAATATATTACTAGTTTATACTGTAAAAGATAGAGGTAACCACCCTCAACCAGAGATTTTTTTGTGTTTTCTTAAAAATTGACTTAATAACAATAAATAACTTGTGTTGTTTTCAATAAAGTGCTTTTGTAGCTCTGTATTTAATCATATTGGACACCTCCCTTGTAGTGTACAGTGAAAGGCTGTTTTTTTTGCCATTGTTGTCCCTGCAGATGTTCAGTCTTTGCCCGAACAGCCTGACTTGGAGATGGTGGTGAAAAATTTGGCTCCTGTCTTACTGGATGAGCCATTATCAACTGCTGCCCCTTCATTGTCATCCTGCCGTCCAGCAAGGAGGGAATTGACTTCCAAAACCCCCGAAGCTAAACCTATCTTCCAGAAGAGATGGGCAATTTTCTCTGCAAAACCTAAGGTTGGTGTGTTTGTTTGGTTACAGGCAGTTAACATATGGTAATTTTGTTTATGTGAGTCACTGCTCAATGCCTTGATCAGTAACAATGTGTCAGGAGTTGCCGCTGATTTTGTAAAGGCTGGACACCGATGTGTTCATCTACAACAAATAATATATTTAAAAAACAGCTGGATTCATCCTGTCATGATCACATCTATATTTGGTGTAACTTTGTCTTTTTTCTGTTTTGTTTTGTTTTGTTTTCATAGTGTGATAAACCTTTACCTCCAACCATGGTGAAGCTGGAAGGGATTTATGATTCAATTTCATACAATGATGTGGTTGCTGCTGTGGGTTTTTTTGGAAAAACCAAGTCAGTTATATTGTTTAGGTCCAAACTGCAGGTATGTACAGTTAGAGTAAAAAGAGTGTGTATGTCTTTTTGCTGTAAAAGTCTACCATTTCATCTTTCCACATCAGCAATAACAAAGTGTGTGATAGGTATCAAAGTTTAATTATGTGGGAAGTGGCGGAGCATGGAAAGAGGAAGAAACCCACTAAGTGATAAATTTGCAATTGCTTTTATACTGATATTGGAGATGATGACTGCCCTTCTACTTTGCTTTTGTTTTGCTACTAGGCATAAAATCTTTATCCTAAACATCTTTGCACTGACGTCATTAACAAGGAACTGCTGTTTGGTCTAGAGTGTCATGCTGAGCAGTCAGTATTCTTAATGAAGCTGGTTAATGACTTGCATGTATAAATCCCAATCAGAATTTAAGAGCCATCTTGAAGTTGTTGAATCTGTTTCAAAATGTGTCAAACAAAACGTTATTGATATTCAACGTAAAGTTACTTCTACAGGTAATCAATAAAGGGTTAAATTTTCTGTGTTGGAATATCATTTCCTGCTCTGGATCAACATGTGCAAGTTACTGTTGCAGGGCTAAAACAGCAGTTCAGTAACTCACTGGATGTGGCTTTTAAAGGCTTGAGACTTTAGAAAGAAAGTGAATAAACGTAACAATGCCCAATTCTAACTAAAGAAAGCAGACTTCCAAAGACCTTTTAAATTTAGGAATTTGTTAGTGAATACGTTGTGAGCTGATGTTCATAATTGTAGTAAGAAATCATCTTGGATGTTTATATATAGGCACTCGCGTGTTTTGAGAGGGAGGAAGATGCTGAAAAATTGAGAAAAATGAAGAAACTCAGTGTGAAAGGAGTGCAAGTCGCTGTTGTGAAAGGAAAGGTATTTAACCTCTTCTATCTTTATTTGTCTTTAATTTGAGAGTATGCACAATCAGTAATCAGAGTAATCCAAAATAAATCTTTCTTTTTTTTTTAAGGATGCTGTTTCTAAGAGACCTCTTCTAACTTGTACAACAGAGCAAAGGAAGTGCCCTCAGCAGTAAGACATGCCTCACATGTACTCTTTCCCCCCCCATAATTATAAATATTCATTTATACCAGCGGCATTTTGTGTCCTCTGTGAGAGGGGAAAAATTAATTTGTTTGATTCAATATAATTAGAATTTGCTATAGTTGCTGTACCTCCTTTTTAACTTGTACCTTATTACAATCAATATTTAGTCCAAAAGTGCTTAAAGTTTATTTTAATCACAGCAAGGAATCAGTATTATTAACTTAGATCACAGTTTGTTTAGCATAAACTCTGCAGGTATAAGAAGGTGCCATCAAAAAGTTATCAGTCTTTAAAAATAAAAATCAGACCTCAGTCCTAACAGCACCAGAGAGCTGCCCTTCACTGAGCCTGGTTCTGTTGAAGGTTTCTTCTTGTTAAAAGGAAGTTCTTCCTTCCCACTGTTGCAAAAGTGTTTTTTTTTTTTTTTCATTGGGGGGCCATCCAATAGTTGGGGATTTCTTTACTGTTAACTCTGACTTTTAGATGTGGCTCCTTGCAACTTCATATACTTCCCCAAAGTTAAATTTAGGTTTTAATTGTTACTTTTTAAAACACCGGAGTAGTGAAGCAGCGTGCATCGCAGAGGCACAATAGCAAGTGGACTGAATGGGACTTCCACTTAGTAATCATATGTTTGGATATAAAGCCTTACAAAGGAAGGACTGTCTGACAGAGTTGACCATATCATTCAAAACATTTCCTTGTATTTCTCTATTTTTGTCTCATTTTTTCCATTTATATGTTTCCTTCACAGTGAATCTTCCAAGTTTGGTATTATTGCACCTCAAACCACTGAATCCACTTCCACAGAAAGGATTACCTCTCTGTTGGTCTCATTTTTTGTAAAAAAAATGAAAACAGCAAAAAACAGTAATGTGCCTGCAATAAGACGAGTGGAGTTGGTTGAGGCAAAAGAAGCAGCTTCAAAACCTCCATTCAGAAGTTCAGTTCTGCTTCACAATGGTGGCTCTGAAAAAACAGTTGAGTCCAGTGAATGTGAAACCAGTGCTATTGAATCTGTGGTTGCACCCATTGAATCAGGCCAGGTGGAAACATTTACAAACACGAACGTTACTGAACCAAATAAAGTCACAGAAACCATCTCTCAGCTAAGCTGGTGCTCAGTGGTGACTTCTGAAGCAGAAACAGGCTCGATTACAGCAGCCCAAGAATCTGCAGTGGTATCTGACGACAAAGACGAGGTTGGTGCAACAACAAGTTTAACATCCAATGAGATGATGCAGCAGGAGGATTTCACCAAAGCCAATGTTGAGGCAAAAGACACAGAACCACTGAAGTCTGGAAATACAGGAGACTCCACTGTTACCTCCCTGACTGTTGGGGAGAAGCTGGACGAAATGTACACAAAGTTCACTTCAGGTTGTTCAAGTTTTAGGAAAGCACTAAGACCAAATGTAAGTTTTCTCTAAAGCACTTAAATTCATCACTAAGTTTCAAACATGTGCTCCCATTTTACAAATATGTTAGGAGTTGCATCTCGTTCTTTAATACATTGGTTCAATCACATTCACTCTCATCATTCTTAGATGACACTCAAAGAAAATACCCTAAATAGTGTGAAGTGTAGTAATATACAGGTTATCAACAGGTTTTTAAAGACCTTACAACTTATTATGGCCTATTATTATGGGACTTCTGGGACTTATCATGGCATTATGGGCTTTTGAAAGAAGAGTTATCAGGTTTCTCAAATGAGATCATTTGGACAGCCTAAGAGTTGTCCACTATATTGGATATGATATAACCACTGAGCACAGATAGTATAAATAAATAAATAAAACATGCTCACAAGGGAAATTTATTCCACTACTACTTTGTGAGTGGTCCCTGGTGAAATCAACTGCAATGAGTGTGCTGACTCAAAACCTCTTTACAATTTCCCTATAGGTAGCAGATTGGTGCAGTTTGGATGACAGATAGCAGCTTGTTTGCAAACATTTGCTAACTACTAACCGAGTAGTAATAAAACCTAAGAAAATGGAAAGCAAACAATCACCCAATTCGGCGTTTTCTATCCAAAATCTGGCAATCTGCTAATATCAAAAGCTGAAGTCTC